GTGCTAGACAATGAATTTAGGTTATATTAATTTGAATCACACCTTTAATATAAATGGAAACCAACTCAATAGTATGACTGAAGAAAAATTATCATTCATCCTAATTTAAGATCCTGGCAAGGATCAATGAAGAATAAAACCTGTTTATAAAAATAAAGTATTTTTGATTCACAAGCTTAGGCCTGAAATTAATGTTGTTAGTTCTTCAGAAAAAGTTTGGTTAAGGCTTTAAAGTGTAAGATTGAAAATTTCTATTAGCTTTTTTTTCCTAGCAACAGAACACAACTTTGATGCCGTTACAAACTTCTAGGGCATGTTATAATGTACTTGACTTAGTTGGCTTGTTTTTGTTTTGTAGAACCAATATATATAGCCTTGCAGACAGCCAACTTATTTTTATGCTTTCATGAAAAACAATGGTTGAAAAATTGGCCGCAACCTCTTTGTTATCGTAAGTATGTTGACCTTCATCATCTTTAAGAACTCTGATCACGCTTCTTAATTTCGTCACTATCTAAATAGTAAAAACAAAAAGTATAAAGTTTACTGTAGAACATCAGGAGAACCATAAACTAATATATTTTTTTTGTATACCTCAATTAGTAATAATAATAATGGAGAATACCAATGTGAAATGTATCGCATGAAAACATTCCCAGGTTTATATTTCAATTTTAAAAGTTTCATTCCAAATTTAAAAAACGAAATTTAGTTAAAAGTTTATTTTACCAAGCATATCCAATATCTAGCACTTACATAGCTATACATAAACAATCTACTAATATCAAGGATTTTTTATGGAAAAATATGTTTCCTTGTTTGACAAAATAATCCATATTTCTTTGTATAAATAAAGTTTAATTATTAAGAATGAACTAAAAAAAAAAATTTATCGGTGGGATATACCTAATGATACATTTAAGGTGTGTGTATTTAAGCCTAATTCTTGCCCATTCTCTTTCTTTAAATTTAAGGACCAGATACCAACTTTACAGTCATTGTTAATAGTTTATAAATTTACTTGTTCATGATGTCAGCATGGTTATATTGGTTCTACAAACCATTTAACAGGTATAAAAGAACCTAGCAACTTCAGGTCACCCACGTCCCGTGTATTAAAACATGCCCTAGGTGACTATAACATTGTTGTTCACTCTCATTCGTTTGAAATCTTTGCAAAGTCAATGGTGAACAAAGTCTCTGTATAAAAGAGATTCTATTGATTCACAAGCTGAGATTTGAAATTAATGAAGTTAGCTAACAGAATTTCAGGGTGTATTTATAGACATACTTATTACGAGACAAAAAAGGTAATTATCTCTATACAAATCATCAGTTAGGCCTCCTTTGAAATACTGTATATAGTTTTAAGTCCCTTACGCAAAAAATATACTGATTTATTGAAAAGGGTCCAGAGGGCCACTAGTAGGATGTTTCCAGGAATAGTAGGGTTATTTAACAGAGATAAGTTAAGGTCTCTTAATATTTCTTTTTCTCTTAAGAGAAAAAGGGTAAAAGGTGATCTTATTGAAGTTTACAATATTATTCAGAGGATCAACAGTAGTGAAACCTCTGGTTTCTTTGTACTGTATTAATAGAACAAGAAGATACAAGTTTAAGATTTGTGTAAAAGTTAAACTAGGCTCCAGTTAAGATAGTTTTATAGCACGGATTTAAGAGAGAGGAATCTATGACTTCCTGAAATGTAAATAAAGGATAAGTTTGAATTTTCCCAACGTTAAGTATTTACAGACAGCCTTCAAGGACCTTATGATCCCTTGTTGTCCATAGGTTATTTTTTTGTTATAAATGTTTCACAAGAGAAAAAAATATGTTCATATTTTTAGGCCTTACTACCTGTTTTGTGACATGTAATAATTTTCTCTTGAGAAGAGAAGGGTTAGATGGGATCTAAGTTGAATGTTCAAAATTATAAAGGGAATAGATAGGATTGATGCATCGTCTTTATTTGTGTTTAATGGTAAGAGTCGTAAAACTAGGTGATGCAGATTTAAGATTTGGCAGGGAAGACATCATCTGTAAATTATCATATTTTATTTTCCAAACAGGGTGGCCAGCCTATGGAAAACATTACCTTCAAATGTGGTAGATGCAAAAAGATTGAAAGTTTGAGAGAAGGCTTAAAGAGCACATGGGGAGTGAGGGATGAATGGAGGCAGATGACTGTTTGATGAAATGATTGGGATGATCACAACAGACCCCTTGTTGTCTCACAAATATTGTGTGTTGGTCAGTTGTTTTTGCTAAAAAATGTTAATTTCATCATGATATTTTTTTGCAAAGGTCCATGTGATTACTTATCCTGGTATAGAGAATAGATATCTTCTAAAATGCTTATTGTTAAAAGTCTTTTTTTTTCAATGTTGCCATTTGGAAAGGAGAGCAGTTGACTTTTCCCATGTTTCACACAACTATCTCTGAAAAAAACCAATGTTGCCTCGGTCCACTTAAATCTCAAATAGTTCCTCTAATTTTGGTTTCTTTATTGATAGGAAATAGTTTTTCCACTTTTATTCATATCCATTCTTAACTGAGTAATTTCTATTCTTGACAGACACTTAAGTTACTTAAGTGCTAAGAAATTCTCGAAGGTTCTATATCATTCTTGTAGGCATAGGTTTGGTCAAAAAAACTGTCCATTGTCTGACTGAATGCTGAAGCTATCTAATGAGTAGAGTGAAATTATTTCTAAGAGTGGTTCAAGTCTTCTTTACTAGTGATAGGGTACTATGAACAAAGTATGTTGGTGGTGGTGACTGGCGAGTGTTCACACAAGTTACTGATGGCTCCTGACATTACCTATTCACTATTTTGTGTTTTGTTTAAGTCTATTTAAGAGACAAATTTAAGCTATCATGTAGCATCTATTACACAGTTTACCCCAAACTGCTTTCAGAATTGAAAAATGTACAAAATAAAGAATATTAGAAATGTACCCAATAACACCTTCGAGTGTCATTATCAATATTTATCTTTACCAGTGATATTACATTACTAAACACAGTGAAACAGCAAGCACTACATCTTACAATTCAGTAAAACTGTCCAAAGGGTGACATAAAGATATTAATTAAACTGTGAAGTTAGTACATGTCCAACTCATGAAGTGAAAACTTCCAATAACCTAATTCCAAGAATGAGAAAATCTTATTTTGTTGCACGAGTTTTTCGTTAAATACTACGTTGGATAATAAATTCCCAACAATTCCAAAAGAAAATCCCAAACTAAACAAACAATAGTTATGTTTTAATGTTTCAACTGTAAACAGTATAGACTCAGAAGTCAGGCTGTCTGTCTGTAAAACAGTAGTTCATGTATACAGTTAGTGTTTGTGTCTCTAAGATAAAATATATTATTTATTTATTGTTACATTCATTAGCAATATTAATTATATTATTTAGTATCACAAATTTTATGAATTTCCACTTTGGTTTCTTGTATATTATTATAATGATTGTCTTAAATTGTTAGCTTAATATATGTACTTAGGGCTACCCTAAATCTCCTTTGCTGGACCAAACTTCATGAGATATTATAGGAATTACATCTGAAAATATCGTTAACGGCAATAATACCCAACTGATAAAACAATGCATTCTAATATTTATAAGTAGAACTACTAAGAAATGTATATTTAATTACCTAAAATGATCGACAGGTTGATTTTTAGTTTCACTCTAAGTATACGGCTTGCTCTGATCAGAAGTTAACAACACGGACATTACGACTTTAGAAACAAACATTGAAAATGTTTCTCTTTAACAGTGCACTGAATTTATGTAAATGTCTAACTAAAATAAACTCTTGGCCAATTATGCATATAATAATATTATTCTATATTTCTAACACTTATTAAAAAAATATACAGCATTTATTTCATAAATGCAGCACTGTAATATCACAGTTATTCAATAAACAATTTATTTCTTCTGCTAAAAGTATTACAAGTTTCACAGTGTGTAACACAATCTATGGACAAGAAAAGACCATTTGTCCCTTCAAAGCTGTCCATGCAAACCCATCCTTAGGAAAAATAAAACATTAAATCCACCTTCTACTTTTCATGCAGTCATCATTTCTCCTATTAGTATTAAACTCATGTAAATCACAACAACTCATTCCATAAGCCACTCATCCCATCAGAAAATAAAACTGTCTTTAAATAGATCCTAGCCTGTCTTTTCCAACACATTTGACATGTACTTAACTTCTCTGTTAATTTATTAGATATAATATGCTGGCACTAAAATAGGAATTTTGAAACAGTAAATGTTTAGTAACATATCCTTGATGTAAGAAAGTCCTCTTTCATAAACTGCTCAGATTATTCAGTCTCTTTTCTAACTTTCTAGTTATTTGTTACACTGTGAAGTTTACATCCCAGGAAATACATTTAGCCAAGTTTTACAGTCTAATTCAGCACTTCTCAACCCTTCTTTACCCTCATGGACTCCCTTCATGAACCCAAAACAATCTCATCAAACTCAAACAGTTCTATCTGCAGAAACTGATTGTACAGCATATGTTATTTTAATTTAATCGAACACAGCAATGTTTCTCTTCTTTTTAAATTGAAATATGGAAATTCAATCTTCACTGTTGTAGACACCTTTAAAATACTTCCTGGTCCTCTAGAGGTCCATTGAACATAGGTTGAGAATCATAGTTCTAACTGTTAATAATAACTTAGGTCGGACCTTTGTATCAGTAGTTATTATTATGCACCAGCAATAAATAATATGCACCATAGAATACAACATATCTGCTATATCTAGTGTCCACGAGATCCTTCGTCTAATAATAATGTCACTGGACTCATCAGGCCGGCTGGGATACAACAAACGCATTATGAATATGATACTAGTACTAGCTGTTGAAACGCTATAGTAAAACTAAAAGTATTTTACTTTTATCGTTTTAATTTTATTAATTCAATACGAATGATTAAATTACGATAAATAAATTTAAAATCACTTACCTTAGCTTCTGGATGGCTAGCTATGAAAATGCAAATATATTAATATAGAAAGGGTGAAAAAGAGAAGTGTATAGCTATTTAATAATATTAATACACAGTGTTTCAAGTATTTCTTACTAACTTTTTTAACTCCAACTAATCAACCTCTATAAAAAAAAAAAACACTGACTATTAACGCCCTCTATATTTTCTAATACTCTTCGAGAAATTTCTTTTTGTGACATCCGGTTAGCTTTAACCACAGCAAAAATTCCCAAATTTCTTACAATTTTGCTGTATTGTGATATTTTCAAGTACATAGATTTACTCGAGATAAGAATAGTAGTTCACCCTAGCAAAGGGCTTAGCAGGAAATAAACTTAAACCGAATTCTTACTTGACTGAATTGTGGAAAAAAGCTAGATACAAATTTTACTGAAAAAACGAAAATACTTTACGTAAACATAAAATTCAAATCAACCAGATGTATATAAGAAGACGAAAGGTCACACTTCTCGCTAAATGGAGAATTCTGTACCAAGTGAAAATCTGTCTAAACTAAACAATAATCTGGTTAAACCTCAAAGAATCCACTGCTGTGTGTTTATTTGAATATGGTCAAACCTCAAAGAGTGCATTATTCATCAAGTTACCTGATCACTTCCATTGTAGGATGCAGGTATGGTACGTGTTTTCTACCCTTTTAGTTAATAAAAGAAATTAAAATTTCTGAGCATATTGAGTATTTTGTTCTTAATGCAGAAAGATGGTCAAGAGAGCCACAAAGTTACTCTCACTAAAGTTACTGACAAAACTGGGTGAGTCAATTAGGATGTTCCTCTACTTTCTTATAGGAAAGATTCCTGTAAAGCAGCGGTTCTCAAACTTTATTAACCCAAGGATCTTTTTTTTTTTCGGGGCCCCCCAAACCTATCGATTATTTTTTTTTTTTTTTGAAAAATATTACGTGCATATGAAAAGCTGTATTCATACGAATTTAATTTCAAGAAAAATATTTTTGTATTCAAAAATCCTATCTTTAAATATTTTATGAAATTTCGGATATGACTTGCGGACCCTCTGGAGTACTCTTGAAGCATTTAGTTTAGGAAATGCAGTTGTAAAGTAGTGTTACGACAGCGGAAGTCACGTGACCTGGTAACACGTGATGAGTGTCTAGAAGATTCGCGAAGACGCTAGTGCGTGCTACGCGCGCGTTTTTGATTGCATATAAGCGCGCCAGACAAAGGAGAGGATCATTCGGAACTGGATAATCACATTAAGAAAAAGTGCGTGAATCGTTCGTTGTGAATTATAGCGTATGTTTAAGTTAAACTAACTGTGGAACTTAAGTGTATTGCAAAGCTGAATTGAGAAATAATAAACTAGTTTTACTTAAGAAAGGAGTTGTATCGCAGAAGTTTCTCGGAAAGAATTTCTACGGGTAATTAATCAATGAACACAGAGGCGTAACAGTAGTATACTGTATAGAAAGAACCAGTGATATTTTCTACTAACAAATTGGATGATGATGTGATATATATCACATGATTTCTATTTACTTTTAGTCATGTAAAAAAATTCAAAATGTTTTCATTTAGTTAGTTTCTATGCAGTTGTAGCATAAACACGTGGTTCAGAAAACTGTTGAGGTTGCCTTTTTCTAGTTGCTTTGCTTCTTTGTTATGTATAACAAATAATGCCAATTCTGACTGAGGAGATATTGCAGTAAAATAAATAGCTTCTGTATTGAAAGGATCATCGACTTAAATATCCTTTGCTGGCCGAACTGACGATGACTGTATGCTATAACTGACTGCTTCAATTGAACTTAAGACTTTTAACATAACATTGGTGGAGGTAATTGGACAAGAAATTAGTTTACTGGGTGAGCTTCCAGTTATCCTCTAGACCCGACCCAATTACTTTAAATAAAAATTTTAGTTAATCCAAGAATTCCATACCATTGACAAACATAAGGAAGACAGAGTCTTCAGGTATTTCTAAATCTTACATGACTGATGCAACAAAAGAACCCATTAGTACAAATCTAAATACTTCTCGAGTGACATCTTCCATGAGAAATATCTCAATACCAATGAGGAATTTCCTTTGACCATGTGTGAATGGAACAAGATAAATGTAGTCCAAAGCAGTTACCCACATGCTTTAAATTCAACGTTTGGGCCAACCCATGTAAGTGCACAAAACTTACAGGTACACTGATTTTTTGATAAATGTCCACAATACAGAATATTCCAGAAATGTTAAGCACAGAACGACTTCGAGCACAGGCAGCAAACATAGAAATGAAATACTTTATTTATTATAAATGTAACTCTTAGCATAGCTTGTTAGTTTTTTTATTACTTGCAAGGTGAAGAGGTGCATTATAAGCGTAATAGTCAAATCCCACTATTTGGTCACACAAGATTAGCCCAAGAATTAGCAGAGGGTGCTGTTGAATTTGCTACTTCATTAGGTAACCTATGATAACATGTAGTATGAGAACATACTATATGTTTTCTACCAATTTAGTTAACATTTAAATTGCTTTTTTTTATAGTTGACCTTTTGGACACAGGGAGATGTTCAAGCAAATTATTAACTTGTAGAACTTGTATTAACTTTCTGTAGAAGTGAACAGAACTGCAAATGATAGGTTGTTTAATTTTCTTACATGAATATCAATGCATTTAATTAACATTCTGAGCTATTCTTTTCAGCAAATAAGGTAATAGCTGCAAGCAGTTATGACTTTAGTCTGCACACTTCCCACTAGCTAACCGAGGTAACTTGTGTAAATCATACTCTTTTGTGTGTTAGTGCTAACGAGCTATGGTTTATTAACATATTTAAGATCAAGCCTTCAAATTGCTGTGTGTTTTTGTACAGATTTTACTTGTTCATAACGGGCCAGGTAGATTTCTGCTAAGTTAATTTTCTTTTTCTTTAATTTTTATGTTATTTCATTTTCTGAGAGTACTTCCAGTGATTTGTTTTACTGTCATTTACAGGGAGTACCCATGAAGTTCTCGAGTGTGCCTCAATGCTTTTAAGTTTGCTATAAGCAAGCAATTTTATAGTTTGTGACGTGAATGAGAGGGAAGAAGTTTTTTGCAGTGTTTGTTCCATGCCTTTGTTATTGTGTTTTGAAGTGAAATTGCTTTTTTGACAAAATTTCACCGAGGTTATTTGGACTTTGCTTTTATAGTAATTTTTTTCTATTTGTATGGGTTGTATTTAGTTTTCTTTTGTTTGACTTTAACTTACAGTGAGTGGGGTACATTGGATCTGGTGAGTTTTTAATAAAGGATTCTTCTCAACCTTTTCTCATGCAGTTCCACACACTCTGATAGTTCACTTTCCATAGTGTACTATTTTATGTTCGTAAATTTGCAAACCATGTGATTAAATATTTATTTCTATATGATTCGAATCTTGTCAACACGAAGGTAGGTAATCTCAAAAGCCGAGGCCCAGTAACCTCCATTTTTCTCTTTATTATGCACTTACTCTTTGAGATACCACAGAATAAAAGGGGAAGTGGAAGAAAATGGTGCTATGAGTAAATGATCTATGGGGTGTAGAAGGTGAAAGAAGCGGGCTGATAAAAACCTAGTGAGTACACCAGACTTACAGTATAAATGGCATTTTCTATGTCATGGAGGATGTATGACCTGAGGTATGATGAGCTGCTAGCTGAGGCATTTTGTTCATCACACAGTGGTTGTATCTGAGGGAAACCCTCTCTTGAACTAGAACTTTTAACATAAATGCAAAGATCCCTAGAGGCCATTTTCCTTCAGTCAATAGCTCAGGTGACTGAGGAACAAGAACCATCTGGAGCAGCCAAAAAGCCTCATAAAACCCTTCCCCTGAGGCCTCAGAAGTGTATCCCATGGAACAGAAGGTTGCGAGGAAGGCTACTGGCGGCCTAGGGAGTCTGTGATTTAGTAAGGAAGCCACCATAAAACCCCTCAAAATATCCCAGCCAGAGAATAGGAGTCTCATACCTGGTTGCTGCTTCAAGTGGAAATGAAACGAGAAACTCCAATGATGAACAAGCGCTACCATCATGAGTTGTTTAACTGGTAGGAGGGATAGCAAACGTTCATTGATAATCAGATTGGCACTTTGTGACTAGAAAGACACTCCGTGAGGACAGCCAGTGATTATGCTATAGGTAAGTCATGAGGCACCCGTGGTGGATAAAGTCTGCCAACAGGAGTCACTTCATTAGCAGGTAAGACTACGTGCCTTTGTGGGAGATCTTGGTGATTGTTGTCGCACATAGAATCTTCCCTGCAGAGAGTCTGGAATGAGGTGATGTTGATGGAGGAAACCTGCCAAAAATGAGCCTCCTCAGCAGTCAGTAAGATGAAGAAACCTCAGAGACAATAACAGGGAAAAATGTAAGGACCATTTATGAGGTGAGGCAATTAGCCAGTAAACCATAAGCTGGGGGGTGGGAAGCCATTGGTTAGCAGAAGCCACCATCGAATTCAGGATTGTTGGCAAATAAGCCAGAAATCCCCCATCAAGGATAATGGTGATTAGTGGGCCAGGCAGGAACCTTTTCAATAAGAGAGGTTTCCAGCTGCCAATGAATGAAGAGGTAGTTATCACTGGTGGACAAACTCCACTTAAATGATATGTAATGTCATTCAGCAATACAATGAGTGTCATCTTCCTATAAAGTAGAAGAAAACTAGTTGGTCATGGCATGATGAAAGAAAGAGGAACAATGAGTGAACATAGTTTACCTAAGCAATCTCTGTAGCCACCTGGCGAGGCAGCGAGTGCCTTCTCCCTATACACATGAAGGATGGAGCTTGCAAGACCCTCCCTGAGAGTAAAGGTGAGTTTCTGAGACAACTCATGAGATGTAGTCTGCATCTTGCCACTCAGTTGACCTCAGTCAACTTGTCCAAGTGTCAACTTGTCCCAGACCTAAACTGGGAATGGTGGTGTAATCGAATGAGTGATATATATATATAAAGGGAGTTTAGTGACGTCATGAAGGTCATCCGGTTTTCCAGGAAATATTTAGTCTATTTCTCTATGTACTGTTGTAAGCATCTCATTTCCGGTACAGTGTAGCCGATGGCGAGAGTGTATGTGAA